TATCAAGAAATCAATTGCTTCTCACCAATTCCACTGATGGTCTAAGCCTCTCTCATTTTTTACTTGGGATATTTGCATGGCTTCCTTACTAGTCTCCCTGCTTCTATCTTTGAACCTTAAAGTTTGTTCTTCATATAGCATCCAGAATCTTATTAAACCATGTCACCTTCTCAAACTTCTCCAGTGGCTTTCCATCTCATATTGAGGAAAGCTGAAGTCCTTAACCCTGGCCAACAAGGCCTTGCATGAGCTGGCCCACATACTGTCTCTGATTTCTGATCTTATCCCCATCTCTGCAGCCTTTGCTCACTGCTCTCCAGTGACACTGGCCTCCATGACAGAAATATTCACCCTAGGATCTTAGTACTTGCTGTCTTTGATAACTGGAACATTATTTCCCCAGTTTATATATGAATTATTCCAGTGCTTCCTTGATAAGTTTTTTAAATATTAACTTATCAAAGAATACTTGACAATCCTAGATAAAATAATATCCTCTTCAATTCCCCAACTCCTACCTTTTGATTCCCTCTTTTAAATTTACTCTGATTTTGTTTCTTTATAGCATTTATCACCATCTGACATAATATTTATTTGTTTATTCAAAATACCAGCACCTTTAGAGCATGGACTTTGCTTTTTGCTTTATTGCTAAATATCTTAACCTTGAATATAGTCCTCGCTCAATTAATACCAAATTTATTAACTAGTACTTAATTGCTTTATCTTGTGGAATCCCATAACACTTTATACATACCTCTGCTATATCCAGTGAATTTGTGTAGTTTATATTTCACTCTGTCTCTAATTTACTTCAGACTTCTCTACAACACTAAAATATGCATTGACTCAAATACCTAGTTTTAAGGGATCCAGCTAAAACTAACTGGTGTACTAAAGATTTGTGTAATGTGGTCACAATACACCCTGAAATGTTATATTTAATATTTAAAACTGGAGAAGCCCAGCTCAGTGGTTGAGCATTGACCTGTGAACCAGGAGGTCACGGTTCAATTCCCGATCATGGCACATGCCCGAGTTGTGGGCTTGATCCCCAGGAGGCAGCCAATTAATACAGAGTAAAATTTATATTGTATGAGAAAGGCATGATTAAATGGCATATTTCCTTTTAATACTGTAATTGTAACTGCTTATAATTATATTTTAAAATCCAATCGTGCTCTGATGTATTAAATAAAAAATGATGCCGAACATTTTATATGCCTCAGTTTGCATAAGGGAGTGTGTGTGTGTGTGTGTGTGTGTGTGTGTGTGTGTATTTGTACACATAGGAAAAAGTCTGAAATGTTAATGGTGTACAAGATTCATACACTGAAAACTAAAAAAAACATGAGAGAAAAAAATTACTGAAAGAAATTAAAGATGTCCTAATTAAATGGAAATCTATATCATGTTAATGGACTAGAGGCACAATATTGCTCAGATATTAATTCTACCCAAGATGACCTATAATTTGATACAATCTCATCCAAATTTCTACGAGGCAATTCTGTGGGAATTGACAAATTGCTTGTAAATTTTATATGGAAATTCAAAGAACATAGAATAGCCAATTTAGCAAAAGAGGAGCAAAATTGGAAAACATAGATTACCTAATTTTAAGACTTGCTATAATAAAGTTAGATTAATCAAGACAGTGTGATACCAATGTATTAGATGTATAGACCAATAAAATAAAAGGCAGTAACCAGATAAAGACTTAAACACACATGGTCCATTACTTTTCAAAAACGATGCAAAGGCAGTTCAACATGCGTGAAAGATAAAAATAATCTTTTCAACCAGTGGTGTTCAAACAATTGAGTATCCATAAAAAAGAAAAAGAAAAAGTGGAGAGGCATGTGTTAGGGGGAGAACAGGATAAAGAAGAGACTGAAAATAGATATAAGACTAAACGCAAGAGCTATGATCATAAATCTCCTACAAGAAAACACGGAAAATCCTTCTAACATTGGGTTAGACTAATATTTCTTAGGACTCAAAAAGCATGATTAAAACAAAACAAAGCACACACACCCAGAAGAAGAAACTAGGCATTACAATTAAAGAATCTCAAATCAATGTTGGGAGCATTTCAAAGGTGAATGTTAAAAATCCCAGAGAGAAAGAGACATTACAAGAAACCAGGAGTGTTCCAATTTGAAGTCTCTGCTGACTCAAATCACCAGGGATTTAAAAATCTTGCCCTACATCAGATTCCCACTTTTTTGATCTTACAAAAGCCGGGAAAATGGGTGAAGAAGATAGTGACCATTTGGTAGGGAATAAGGAAGCAGGCAGGTCTACGGAATTATGCATATACTGTAGACCAGGGAGACTGAATTTAGTATTAGAAAAATATTAAACATCATCGCAGAAACAGTTAGCAAACAGTGAAGCTAGTACAGTGGAAGAAGCTTGGCTTTGTCAAGAACCTGTCATGCCAGACCACTTCAGCCCCTCTAGTAAATGAGTGGCAGGCTGGGTAGTGAACCAGAAGCAGTAATACAAATGTTTCTTGGCCCTGACCAGCTATTTAGATGTAGTCAACATAAAACTCTCATCACTAAAATTAGGAAATATGGCCTACAGTGTTAGATCAATCCTAGCTGAGGACATAACTAAATTGGCCTGGCATGGTTTGGAGAATGGAGGGAAACCATGAATATTCCAGATAGGGAATAGTATGTTCAAATGGGGGGTGATGAATGGTGTGTTTGAGGCATTCAGAGGTTTGTATGGGTAGAACATGGGATGGGAAGTGTGAGGGTTTGGGGGTGAGGGGTAGAAATGAAAGAGATGGGGCCAAAACACAAAGGACCATTTGAAAGAGCAGAACCTTACTGGTGAATTCCCCAGTGCCATGATGGAAGTCCTAACAGACAACTGGCCTTAGGGTTCAAGGCGACTTCCAGGTTTTTTTTTTTATTTCTGTCACTTGCTGCCTCTACCTGCATTAAATGAGCAAGCATTATACTGAAAAATAAAAAGAGGAATTATTGATGTTAAATAGACTACTTTCAAGTTCTATTTTAATGTTAAAGGAGATTGTGTACTTTTAAGTTGATTTTTTTTTAAAGGAAGCCATGTAATTATGAATTAGAAAAATGTGAAAGTACAAAAAGTTGACTTCTGAGCCTAGAGAATAGAAAGATGAGGGACTGTTACCAGAGGAGGACAGACTCTTATATTCTGGTTCCTAACCAGCTCTTCTTCTCTGTGACCTCAGGAAAGTCTTCTTTATGCCTTAATTTTTTAAGGCATAGAGATAAAATGGCATAAAAATACTGATCCATTATTTGTTATCTGTAATTCTGAAACTCAAAGAGCTCTAAAAACCAACTTGGCTCCGTTTTAATTTCATAAGCTTGTGCTAAACTCATTTGGTGTTGAAATCCAGCCTGAATTTGAGGCTCTTATAGTCATTTCCCAGATGATATATATATTCATGAATTTTACAGAAATGTTTAGATTTGGTTATGGGACACTGCCCTAAATCCTGCTGGAGCTGTTTACAGTATTTGCTTTACTCCCTTTCTAAAATCTAAATGACTATGGATTCTGAAACATCTAGCTCCTGGGTTTTCAGATAAGAGATCATATACCTATAACACCTTCCTTATAGGGTTATGTGAGGATTGTATTTTTTACAAAATAATTCAGAAAATGGAGAAGCTGTTATTATTTATCATTATTTAAATTAGATTCTCTCCTCCCATCCCTGAGGACAAGTGAGGATTAACACCTGATGGGGCCTAAATTTATTCTTAGTAAAGTTTGTGTTATAGTATATTAATTATTAAAGCAGAATGCTTCTCTTAACTTTCCTCTTCTGAACACATACCATTCTTTTTTTTCCAATCTTTAAATACTTGGATGGATGCTTATTCATCAGGTGTTAGCTGACAGACTTACTTTTCAGTCATCTTTCCTATGGTGCATCTTATGAAACTCATGGTTAGATTAAAAATAAAAATACATCTTATTTTCTTGGAGTTATCAATAAAAGTGAGTTTTTAACATGTCCTAAGACAATTTCTTTGTTTTTAAAGTCATTGTTTAAAACACTAGAGCAAAAATAACTATCTAGATTTCAATCAGTGCTTCCCAAGCAGGATTTTATTTTGTGATTGATTTTTGGGCATACTTCCCATTTCTTCAAGTCATCTAAAACTTTTTGCTGCATTTAATCCTTGATTTTCTGGTGTGTGGAACTGATTATGCAATACACTACTAATATTAGGAAGATTTTAACTGAAAATTGTATATAGTGAAATACTTGGGATGTAAAAAAGATTATTAAAATACACATTATATTTCAAAAGGAAGAGAAAAGCACCTACTTTTAAATGTGTTCTTTGGTAGGATATTTGCCTTTAGTCAGAGTGTATAGCCAAATGGCCACGTCCAGATGTTTCATTCTCTTAGGCTATGACATTAGAAGATGAGTGTGGCAGTTTGGGGATGTTTTTGCTTTCTAGTTTTCTAGCAGGTTGACTTTGGGTAAAATATCCTCATATTCTTCCAGACATTTCATCTTTAAAAAACAAAATTCCCAAAACCCTAATCCCTGCAAGTCTCTTTAGATATTGTAAGGACAGGATTTATTATAATCGGTCTAATGTCACTCAATTCATGTGAATATTGTTTTTCCGCTTAGTTTCTAGTACTTTATAAAGCCACTCATGGTATTAACCACTTAACGCCCCTAGAAACCCAGTTTCTTCACCCCAATGAAAGGACATAATGCTATCAATGTGTTTTGAAAAATGTGAAATCTTTTGTAAATATTGGGTTTTATTTCAAGTAGGAAAAAAAGTATTAGTTGGATTAATGAATATAACTCTATTAAGATTGCTCGCTGTCATTTTTGTAGTAGCCAATGGTAAACATGTAGCTATAAAGACTTCAAAAGATGGACATAATTTCCTTGATTTTGGATGTAACATTATTTCCTGTTGGTTCTTTCCTTCCTCCACCATCGGCCCATCTCTATGCAGTATTCCACTGAACTGAAGAAACTCTACTGCCAAATTGCCAAGACATGCCCCATCCAGATCAAGGTGATGACCCCACCTCCTCAGGGTGCTGTCATCCGTGCCATGCCTGTCTACAAGAAAGCTGAGCATGTCACCGAGGTGGTGAAACGATGCCCCAACCATGAGCTGAGCCGTGAATTCAATGAGGGTAAGGAGGAGAGGATCCTGTGGCTGTTCAACGAAGCTCCTTGAAATTAGAGGTTCTACAAAGATTTGTTTGGAGTCCATTTACCTGGTTCCACCCTCTGCAATCTGATGGCAGCTCAGTCTATCTTTTGGTTGGCTGAGTGCCTGAGAATAATGATCAATATACTTGTGGCTTTCACAATGACTTAATAATGCTTGAACTATTTAATTTAATATTAGTAATTAGTGGATAACCTGGACTTGTCTCTCTACTCCTTATTGCTATTTTTTTTTTCTTTTTTAATGAGAAGGTGTAAGAAGAACAATGTGGCATTTAGTCATTTGTTCTGCTCTGCCCAGACAAGGTAATCTAGCTTTAGTGCCTTCCCAGAGATGGTCAAGGCTGACCAATTGAGAGTTGGAAGGGTAAGAGGAAGGAGCATAAGAAGTGAGCAACATGAAGAAACAGAATACAAAAGTAGGAAAAAAGAAAAATGAATGAAGACAAATAATGGGCAAGAGAAGTAAATAGAAATATGCAAGATAAGCTGGGGAGGGGGATAGTGGAGTGAAGGACCAGGTGTCAGGGAGCAGGTATGTTGGGGCCACCTTTAAGATCTGTATCCATGCCCATGATATGAGCCACAAACCAACAATTGCTTTACAGAAGAGCTCATTGTTTCCTAGGGTTCCCTAATATTTGATATTCTAAGGTTTTGTGAAGAGAGTCTAAGTAAAGTACACAGAAAAGTGGAAAGAAAGGATAGAAGAATGTACATAGATTCATCAGAGTGATGAGGGTGCAGGATGGGTAGATAATTTATGTAGAAAATGTATTTAAAATGGAAAGATTGGTTGGTAGCTAGAATGTGTGAATGTAGAGAATATAAGGGATGGTACAGAAAAAGTGGTGGAGAAAGAAAAAGAGTGAATAGAAATTTCAGATAAGAAAATAAAGTTTAAGTCCTCCCACCTTAATACAATTAAGTTTTACACATTGATTTCTAGTCCTTTTCTACATGACCTCCTTATCCATCCATACCTTTGCATCTTGCTTTTCACTTAACAATGCACCATAAAGATTATTTCTTATAGCTAAGCTTTATTATAGTTTTTTATAACTGCCCTTGATCCATCAAGATGACTTAACTGTTTTTTCCCCCAATGTTTGACATAATAGTTGTGTTTACTTTTGCAATAATAGATGATGTTTCAGAGGGCATCTTGATTCACTTAACTTTTCACTGTTATTAAATACTAGAGGCCCCATGAACGAAATTTGTGTAGGAGTAGGCCTTCCTTCTCCTGGCTGCCTGCACCGGCTTTCCTCTGGCACCCGGGACCCGGGCTTCCTTCTAGCCACTGGCAGGCATCCAGGACCCGGGTTTCCTTCGCAGCCCTGGCTTCGTCTGGAAGGACATCTGGAAGGTCGTTTGGAAGGGAGTCCAGAAGGATGTCTGGTCTAATTAGCATATTACACTTTTATTATTATTATAGATCAGTTTTTGTGGAACAATAATGCATGGTCAAAGTTTAAGAACACCTTTATGATTCCCAATTCTTCAATCAGCTTCTTTCTTTTGGAGCCCTTGTCCAATATCATAATTTTGTGAAACTTTGCCTACACGCTTTAAAAAATTTGCTTTCCCTTTCTTATTCTCCAACCTTGGGTTCTTTCAGCACAACAAAACCAGTAAGTTTCTCATCTTTATGACCAAAGCAAGGTCTAAAATTAGAGACTTTATGATGGAGAAAAGAATAGTCAAAGGGAAAGTAATGTCCTTGCCATCTGTTGCCTTTTTAGGTTTTTTTTTTTCCTTTCTGCTCAAATTTTGAATACTATTTCTCAAGCTTTTTTAAAAAAATTAAATGTATTGGGGGACATTGGTTAATAGGAGAATATAGGTTTCAGGTGTGGATCTATATGTTGCATGATCTTTATATTTCACTGAGTGCTTATTTTTTTAATTAGCTTGTTTCTTTTTCTTCTATTTCCCATAAACTAGCAAAATCTTCTCTAGTCAGAGATGTATTCATAGAGTTCTCTAAAATCTTGAATTATTAACCTTAAGCACTGCAAACATAGGATTTTTCTCTTAAATACATTTGAGTCTTCCAGTCCTTCCTTTCACCATAAAGGTTGTGACACCTTCATGTGTTAGATATCTGGCAACAGGATCTTTTCCTTTTTTTTAAGGATATATATTTCCTCTATTAAACCCTTTCTTTGGCAACCAATATCCTGTCTGTGTTGTTTCATTTTGTTTTCTTTGAGGGTGAAGAACTAACTATTTTGTCTTTCTCTGTTCTGCAGGACAGATTGCCCCTCCTAGTCATTTGATTCGAGTGGAAGGGAACAGCCACGCCCAATATGTAGAAGACCCCATCACAGGCAGACAGAGTGTGCTGGTACCTTATGAGCCACCCCAGGTAAAAAGATAAGGACTGGGCTAAGTTGGGAGCTGATTTAATTCAGTGATAGAAGGTGTTTTGCACACCTGTTTATATCTTAGTCCTTGTTACCACATATGTAACCTGTTTAATCTCTTCTCTTCTTCGTTCTCTACACACTGCTCCTATACCTCCTTCAAAACTCGTAAATTTGCACTAAACTAGCTTGATAATGTGGCTCTGTGCCCATGTTTCCATCTTAATGGTTCATAATAATTGAATTTGCTTATTGGGTTAAAGCACAACCTTACCTTATCCAAAGAATTTAACTGGCAATTGAGGTGGTAGTGAATGTGCAGCAATACTGGATACAAGGATTCTTACACTGCACATGGGGGACCTCGAGAGCGCTCTCTTAGCTGAAGGTGGAATGAATAGGTGGCAGATTAGAAACACAGAACCCTGGCAGAGGGAGATGAGGGTGTTGGCTGCTGCTTGCTGTGTGAACCTTTAACTGTAATTCTTCCTCTCTGGACTTCAGCTGCCTCATCTATCAATGAGCACTTTGGATTAGATCCGTGGTCGGCAAACTGCGGCTCGTGAGTCACATGCGGCTCTTTGGCCCCTTGAGTGTGGCTCTTCCTAAACCTTAGGAGTACCCTAATTAAGTTAATAACAATGTACCTACCTATATAGTTTAATTTTAAAAAATTTGGCTTTCAAAAAGAAATTTCAATCGTTGTACTGTTGATATTTGGCTCTGTTGACTAATGAGTTTTCCGACCACTGGACTAGATGATTTAATGCTGAGGACCTTTTAAGCTCCAGAGTGTTATTTATGGGAATATTTTCTCAAATCTATGTTATTCTGTTTATCCACATAGGGAATATAAACCTGATCATAGTTGCTACTCTTGGTGATGTTTTCAGCTTTCCCTTTGCCGTGATATTCATATATGAGATGAACCCAGTTTAGATCAGGGGATATATATCAGCTTGCAAATGAATTGGGTCAAAGATGATTATTTTTTTAAGGCCTATCTCCCCTCATGTAGTGTCCAATGTTGCAAACATTAGCTTTCAGCTTACCAAGAGGCAAGCCAAAAGGGAATGACAATGGGTTTTATTCCTAGAAAAATAAGCATCATCACCTCATCAGAAATGAAGTTGTTTAAATAGAGGGAAGAGCTGAGGAGCATGGACATTTGATCAAATTATTGTTAACAGACTCTTTTTCCCCTGTGTTCAGGTTGGCACTGAATTCACGACAGTCTTGTACAATTTCATGTGTAACAGCAGTTGTGTTGGAGGGATGAACCGCCGTCCAATTTTAATCATCGTTACTCTGGAAACCAGAGAGTAAGTGGCATATGCAGAATTGCCATCCTGCAGAAACCATGGGCAGAGGGCAAAGTGAAACTGTGTTTGCTTTATCATTACTAGTGCATGTACAGCAGAGCACCACCCTTGATTTTATCCTTTGCGCTTTAAATCCTTGCTGCAAATACTTACATAAAAGATCTAAGAAAGTGGAGACAAAGCAGGGTGGGTAAACAGAGGGGAAGAAAGAGGGAAGGCATGCAAGTCGCTTCATACCTGAATTCTTGACATTTAGCTGGAATGGTTTCTGATTAGACAGTGTTTGTTTTCATGTGGCCCCCGAGGCATTTAACAATTTCTTTGAGTAAGTCTGTGCTGCCTCGGGGAATTTTATCCAGAGACATCCACGGGCTTAATTCAAGCTTCCTTCAAAATATGTAGCTAAATACAGCTGTTCAGCTAATGGCTCGGAGGTTCTTTGCAGAACAAATGGAATGTTATTTACTAATATCACTGGTGGCATGTAAGCACTTTTGTGTTCTGCCAAGTGCTTTGGGGTGCACCCTCCGAACAGCCATGACTGGCAGGTGGTGATAGTGGTGATGACCAGCAATGGAAATGGGAGAACTCTAGGGAACTTTTACAATTCTTCCACTTTGACCCTTTCCTTCTCTCTTCTCTAATTCCTAGTGGGCAAGTCCTGGGCCGACGTTGCTTTGAGGCCCGGATCTGTGCTTGCCCAGGGAGAGACAGGAAGGCTGATGAAGACAGCATCAGAAAGCAGCAGGTCTCGGACAGCACAAAGAACGGTGATGGTACGAAGCGCCGTAAGTAGCTGTAGTGGCCAAATGGAGGAGGGTTAAGTCCTATCCAGATAGAGGAGCTGGGGCATGATAGTTGAGAAGCAGTATAATAGGACCAAAAGTCTCCAGAGGCAAAAGTGCATGGAGGCCCCAGAGCCAGTGGATGGAGGTGTTCAAATGGACCCGAGGTGTGCACTTCAGCTTGACAAAAACAAATAGTCACTGTTAGGATTCCTTAGTCCGGCAATCCCCAAATGTGGCTCCCAGACCAGTAACATCAGCATCATCAGGAAACTGGGGAGAAATACAAGTTTTTAGTTCCTAGACGTGCTGAATCGGGAACTCTGGGAGGGAGGCCCAGCAATCTGTGTTTTTAGTAAGAGCTCTAGGTGACTCTAATGCTCACTGAAGTTTGAGAATCTGTATTTTAGCCTACTGGTATCTTTCTGACTACCAATCTTTCTGTTACTGAGCATGAGGGCTGAAAATACATCTGCCCACCTCATGAGTCTATGAGGACAGTGAGATTTTAGAACACACTTTGTTAAGCACCATTTGGAGAAGATACAGGTCTGGTTTTCACTGACTCTTCAAATTGAGGCCTCCATCACCTTATCAGGAGTGAGGCTAATGATTCGGTTCAATTGTTTTATTAATCAGAAAAATCTGTTTCATAAATGAAACCCACAATGAAAAATAGATGGAAGTAGAGGGGCTCTAGGTGCAAGGAACAGAAGCTGGGGGTGGTCTGGGGCCCCGTGCTCTACTCACAGCCACCCCTGAGGTACACCCCACAGAGGCCTCGCCCCCCAGCTAACCAAAAGTGAAAACCACAGATCCACAGTGCCTCTAACTTGTGAGATTTGATTCTAGAAGGCATCTCACATAAGTCTGCTGTCACACTACAAGTATTTTAAAGTATGCCACACTATAAGTTATTTCATGTGACACTCTTTTAATTTTATTACTCATTAGTGTCCAGAAGAAATGGAAAGTACACTGTATTTTACAGGAGAATCATAGCATGTTATGACAGCTAGTCACCATCAACATCTAACTGTGCAGTATGATTTGCCCTTCCTGCTAGGCTCTTCCTCTCTCTGATTATTCCTCAAAAGTCTGTCTCTCTCTCTCTCTCTCTCTCTCTCTCTCTCTCCCTCTCTCTCTCTCTTTATATCATCCATATATATACATTATAAATTATATAAATTATAATGATATAAATGATATATATATAATTTTTTGAAATATATTAATATAATATAAATGGAATTCTATTTCCACCTTAATTTTGCTCTTCAGTCTGCCTGGTGGTCTAATTCCTATATTTTTTCCTGAGCACCTCAATTGCCTACAAATTAATGAATATCAGTAAGAATGCATTATGTGAACTTTGGTAGAAGGATCATCTCTATATCCTGAATCCTGAATGTAGTTTTTAATTTTGGAAACCAGAGGGATTCATGAGCTTAATTCACTCATTTTACTGAAGAGAAAACTGAGGTCCTGGAAAATGAGAGCGCTCGTCGGAAGTTATGTGATTTATGTATGAACATGGGAGGGATGAGCGCACAAGCTGAAGACATTGGCAAGACAACCTCTACAACATTCATTTACCACCTTGGAAATCAATGACCTGAAAAGTAAAACACAAAACCAATTTATCTTCCTTTCTTTAACAGCTATTCAGACACAGACCAGTAAGATAGGGATTCCTGCAGCATGACTTAAGCCACAGGCCATTTCCCAGCTTCCCAAAACCCTGCCTTTCACTTGTTCTGCCTCACTTACCCCTGTCTCATTATTGTTAGGTTTGCACTTAATGTAAAAGCAATCATCACAATTAAGTGGTTGCTTAGAACTAGAAACTCTAATCTCACACGTGTTGCTGGTGCTATTGTCTGTTTAGTAAATGTATTATTGCTTCAGAAATGTTCCCAGGATGAAGTTTGCATTTCTTTTTCACCAGCTTTTCGTCAGAACACACATGGCATCCAGATGACATCCATCAAGAAACGAAGATCCCCTGATGATGAACTGTTATACCTACCAGTGAGTCTAGTCTCCCTTGGGTATTCATGCTTACTTCATTTTCACCTTCTTTGAATATGCTTTTGCATAATGTGCAAATATTCTGATTATTTGTCACAATGAGAAAGGGTATTGGGGACAAGTGAGATAAAACAAAGAAATTATATATATATATATATAATCTCAGGAAATAATCCCTTCTGTCTGTAGTTTTGGAATATATTCTGTGGGCTCCTCTACTTACTACTCCCGCAATCAAAGCTACACTCCTAATAAAATTTTTCTTCCCAAAATATTTAAAATCAATTTTTACTTCATTATTTAAGAACTAGAGGCCCAATGCACGAAATTCATGCAAGAGTAGGCCTTCCTTCCCCTGACTGCCAGCACTGGTTTCCCTCTGGCACCCTGGACCTGGGCTGGCTTCCATCCAGCCCCCCACCAGCACCCAAGACTTGGGCTTCATTCCAGCCCTGGCTTCATCCAGAAAGACATCCAGAATGATGTCCAGAAGGACTTCCACTCTAATTAGTATATTACCCTTTTATTAATATAGATGACAAGATTATCGTAACAGCATGACAACCAATTTAGCACTAAAATTTCATCAGAAGGAGTTCACAAAATCTATCATGCAACATTCATAGAGAAATGACTGTGATTTTTTTTAATGTATTTTATTGCTTTTTTACAGAGAGGAAGGGAGAGGGATAGAGAGTTAGAAACATCGACCAGCTGCCTCCTGCACACCTCCTACTGGGGATGTGCCCGCAACCAAGGTACATGCCCTTTACCGGATCTGAACCTGGGACCTTTCAGTCCGCAGGCCTACACTCTATCCACTGAGCCAAACCGGTTTGGCGACTGTGATTTCTTTTAGGGGGTACTATAAAGAAAGCCAAGCAAGACAGAATCCTCAGTTATCTGTGAATGGCCAGAAGACTCAGCCCAATCACTGTCTAAGAGCACTGTTCATTCCTAAAAGTAACCATTAGTCCTCTCAACGTGCCTAAGGTGCCCTGTTTTAGTCTATGGCTGCCTTTTGTTGAAATCTTATTCCCTTAGGTCTTTGCCAGCTAGACTGGCAGCAAAGTTTTGGTAACCAGTATAGTCCTTGATGCCATCTAAAGTGACATGAAACAAAGGTAAACAAGGCCAGGTTTGACTGGGAGCTGCCATCCTGGGTTGGAAGCTAAAGCAACTCAACAGGTTTGGGTGTGCCATACCTGTTCCCTACCTTCTTTGGGCCTTGACCATCAGGGAAATAGACTTCTTGCTGGCAGCACAATCAGACAGTGAGTTAGTTAAGATTCTGTGTCATGTTTCTCAAGATACATATACAATCTTAACTGTGAACTTTAAGTTAAACATTATCCTGATATACTAAATACAGTCATCCCTCCCCTCAACTAAGGATACCAAAATCCACAGATTCTCATCTCTCTTATGTAAAATGGAAATGCACAGTGTCTGCCTTCCACATCCAGGTTTTCCCAACCATAGGTCAAAAATACTCTTTTCCATTAGCAGTGGTTCTCAACCTTCCTAATGCCATGACCCTTTAATACAGTTCCTCATGTTGTGGTGACCCCCAATTTCATTGTTACAAATTGAACACAATTAAAGAATAGCGATTAATCACAAAAACAATATGTAATTATATATGTGTTTTCCGATGGTCTTCGGCGACCCCTGTGAAAGGGTTGTTCCACCCCCAAAGGGGTCGCGACCCACAGGTTGAGAACCGCTGCATTAGAGGTTGGTTGAACCCATGGATATGAAACCCAGGAATATAGAGGGCTGACTGTATATTTATTGAAAAAATAATCTGTGTATAAGTAGATGACTCACACAGTTCAAACCCATGTTGTTCAACAGTGAACTGTAAACCAAAAATACTAGTATGTTTTTTAGCTGCTGACATAGGAATCACTTGAAAAGCTCTTTTTAAATGAAATTTCAGTTGTGAAGGAACCATTGCTCCCAGGAGAAATACAGAGTCAGGTTTCTGTGAGACTCTGGGTCACAGCACTTTTAGCAACTGATCAATATGTAACCCTGTTTTTCGCATGTTTCTGTTAATATACACTGTTGACTCATTAACATTGAATTCCCAGCCGATATCACTATAATCATGCTGAAACAAAACTTATCTAACCTGTATTTTCACATCACAGCCTTCTTATACTTGAAACACTAGACAGCACTTTAGCACTATACTCGGCAAATTCACCACCAAAACAGCAAATTTAAAAAAAAGAAAATGTGGAAAAAAAATGTGGCACTAAATAGACCCCAGAAAGGATAGTTGTTCACAGCATGAGCACTGAAACCAAGAGTCAGAGCCTTGCCTGACTCAGCTGGAACACGCATGGGCACTTAAAGTTTTTTGTCACTCTGCTCATGGCTGCAATTAACCGCTAAGTGCTGAGGAATATTTATTTTCATATTATAAATGCTTGCAAGTAGGAGAAATCATCAACCCAGACTCCATGAAAAATGGGGATTGACAGTCCCGGTGGTTCTAGAGTTCTTCATTTTTCCTTTTCTCCTTCCTGTTCACCTAGGTGAGGGGCCGTGAGACATACGAAATGCTGCTGAAAATCAAGGAATCCCTGGAACTCATGCAGTACCTTCCCCAGCACACGATTGAAACATACAGGCAGCAGCAGCAGCAGCAGCACCAGCATTTACTTCAAAAACAGTGAGTGTGTCCATGTGTCATTTTAGAAGGCATTAACAAGAGTGACTATCGCATTAACATGATCAGTGGGTGATGCAGAAGATGAGGTTGTGAGACAGCAGGACATGATAAGATTCAATGAGATAGTGTGGGGTACTAGTTTCAGCAATTTTCTATGCTTCTTATCATAACCTTCCCTTTGAGAAGTTCCACCTATATTCTGAAATTGAATTCAAATTATTTCAATTGAATTACAAAGAAACTCATACTAACAGTTAGTTCTCTTCTCTCTATCCCTATCCAAACACATCTGTCAGTCTAAGAATTTTGACTATGCACAATATTTGAGCAATAATGTGTATATTTAAAAATATGTAATCTTCCTGCACCCCAGTGAGTTATCTTGTACCTCTCCTGGGATGCGCACAGCCCACTTTTGGGAAAACCATCATAGAGTAGGGATAGCACATAGGTTTTACCATATGTGGCTTCCTTGAGTGCTGTGTTGGGAAGAGTTCTGAAACCCAGTGCATGTTCCTTGGGAAAATGTCTGCATGCAGAACAACAAAGTCACATCATATTGCCATGTTTTAGCATCCCTGTTCTAGGTTACCATCCAGCAATATATTATTGCATAAATTGGGCCAGATTTTGGATCCATATATACATACTATATATATATATATATATATATATATATATATATATATATATATATATATATATATATGTGTGTGTGTGTGTGTGTGTGTGTGTGTGTGTGTATGTGTGTGTATATATATAAATTTTTACCTTGACTCTTGGACCTTTGATGGTGATAATTGTTTTATGACTAACAAGAATAGAAGAGCTCTTATAAAAGGAAGGGAAGTTGGTGAATCAGGACTTTGCTTATACTTAGCCCTCTGTGGTTAAAAATAATTACTTGTTAGCTTAATTAAGATACTGTGTCTGTACTGGAAGTATTGCCAGAGTCTCTGTAGATATATATGTAAAATATATACATTTTGGCCCATTTGAGTAATTCAAACATTTGACTCTTACTCTTCAGGAAAAAAAGAAATGAAGCCAAAATAATCTTGCCAAAGGCAAATATTATCTTCTACAGTAGAAATGTACATGAACAATATATAATATTTTTCTGATATATTATTAGCTAACCATAGAGAGATAGCTATGGAAAGTAGAATCAGAAGGGTTTGTTATTCTTTTTAATCAACATAATTGCAGTTGATGATGTTGGACTGCTTCTCTCATAGTCAGGAGGCATCCTCTAAGCCTTGTTGGCTGTGGGGCTTGGGGTTGGCAGTGGAAGAATAGAAAGATGTGCTCTTTCTTTAAAGGAATTTAGGCTCTGGAATGTTTAAGAAACTTTTTGCCTGGAAGGAGCTCACCATTTACTTGTAGTTTGAGAGTTTTGCAAATCATAATTCCAAGGTTTTAAATAAGGCTGAGTGGAAAGGCTAATCACGGGGTTTCTTGGGGAAACAGAGTATTCCAAAGGAGAATTAGAACACAAAGTTGCAGACAAAATTCCCATCACCAATCCAATAGATTCTTTAGGATATATGTTAACATATGCAATTTCTTATAAAATCATTCAACAGGGATGAAAGAAACAGACCTGTAACATCCTTTATAAATCTAGAGGGAATAAGAGCCTTCCCCATGTCATATCATGGTATTAAGAAACTCTCCCAAATCACCTCCAGTTCACTCTGGACATGTTTAGCTCAGTGAAAATAACTGCAGAATGACACAGTAGCATATCATGCTGACCTAGTTGCTCTACGATTCTCTTTTTGGTCTTTTCTAAAGTTAACAGGAAGAGAATTGTCAGGCCAAATTGATACCTATTAAATGGTGTGGTTGAAGAGATCTGACCATCTAGCTCAGAGTTGGCAATTTTTTTTCTATAATGCACCAATAGTAAATACTGTAGCCTCTCTGGTCTATATGGTCCTCTGCAGCTACCCAGTTCTGTCCTTGTAGTGTAGACGCCACAGCAGCCAATATGGAAAGAAGTGAGAGTCTGTTACAACAAAAATTTCCTTTAGGGCCACTGAAAATTGAAATTCATGTAATTTTCACATCATTAAATATTCTTCTTCTTTGAATTTTTCCACCTTTTAAAAATGTAAAATACATTCTTTGCTCCTGGGCCAGATTTGGCCCATTCATTGTGTTTTACAGGCCTTGTTCTAAATGAGTGCCTCTTCCTTCTTGAGGCTCAGATGTTTTAATAGGAATATTTTGAAGCTAATATATGTATTCTGAAGTAGAAAGTATTAAAAGGTTTTAGGAAATTTTAAAGTGACTTTTAAGGTAACATTTCAATATCTAACAAAATGGCAGCCTTTACCAGAGGTTTCTTTTGTCCCAGAATGTTAGGCACACCCAACCAGACTCAAAATAATGCAACCCCATTATCAGCTAAGACTGGAATAGTTGACTTGATTCATGTAGCAAACTATCAGCGAAGATCTGTTGCATGAAAGCATTAAGAATGGACATGAGAAAGATGGGGTTTCTGCCTTCCCATAGCTTTACAATTTCATGATAAATTCATAACCAGAACACCTTTTGAATTTTAAGAAAGCTCTGGATATTTATTCTCAGCATCATGTAAATCAGAACAATTTTAAACAGCTTCTCTAGATCAAACAATAAGGGGAATTGTTTGGTATAATAGTTTTAGAGACTTAATAAGCCAGGGGGGTCTACCTTGTTCAGTCGAGGACAGGTACTATGTGTGTTTGTATATGAGAATACATTGTCTGGTGTCCTCCATATGATCAGTTATCCAGTGCTTATTGTCTGACTGGCTGGCATTGGTCTAAAGGGAAATTATTTTCCAATTCCTACTTCATAAAACAATCTATTTCATCAAAGATAAAAGGCATCTTAAAATTATATTATTTTAAAAGCCCAAAAGATTTTAGAGACACATAGTGACTTTTTTGCATGTGTGGCCACAGATACGTAGTGAGAACAAGTAGAGTCATAATTACCTAGGGTGTCCATTTACAGTATCATTGCATGTATTTGAGTTGTTATCTCTCAGTTTTGTAAGAGCTGTAACTTGTGCATGAAAATCTAACAGACTGCAAAATGAAATCTTTGCAAAATATAGACATTTGGTCTAATTTTTCCTTAGTTACATTATACAGTATATATATAATATATATATGAGTTTCTACAGAATGAACTCATTTTAATACAAATATGTATTAAATATGAGGAGCACTTAGTATTTTCTTTTCCTTTATGATCACTTGATGATTGTAGTTCAATATATATATATATATATATATATATATATATATATATATGTGTGTGTGTGTGTGTGTGTGTGTGCATGTATACTGCTTTCCAATGATTGATATCCATCTATATAAATTCTCCAGTTGCTGTACTCTTTGGCTGGGTTTTTTTCAGCTCTTTTATTTTCATGCAAATCTCCCAGAAAGAGCATGAATAACTAGACAAAGAAAAATGGAAATCTAGTTCTCTGGTAATCATTTGAAAAATAACAAATCAGCTTGGAAATGCCTTCAATAGCCTGTGATTTTCTTTCCAAAAACATAGTACCAACTTTATCCTGGTAAAGAATCAATTTTGTGCTTTTCTTTATAGTAGAGAAAAAATTAGTGGGAAGGAAATACACCTTCTACAAGGTGGCAATGACATATTTTAAATTTAATTACTTATATTAGATGCTCAGTACGTGTTTCCTCTCTGCTTGATTTTCATTTGTGCATGGTTTCCCTTTTTCAAAAATTGCTTCCCAATTACCTTCATGATCATAGGCTTTATGAAGGATAAATTCACACTGAGTTTTTGTGAATCAAATTGTTACAGGTATAAGTAGGTTTTTACCATTTATAAATAAATATGATTTGGTTGATTTGCTCACATTGAAATAAACATGGGTTTATGTTTATAGATGCCAGAATCTAGTGGGAGGACAAATTGGACCCATTTTTGAACTAGACGCCTTGCCTTTATATTTTCAAAGGAGATTAATTCTTGGGTTTGCTCTACAGAAACCACTTAAGACATCTTAAGACATTTATAGCAATCTTTTTGTGTGTGTATTTTAGACCAATACTATTTTTTCCCCATTTTTTCTGTAGTCTTTTATCCTTGGCTTCCATTCTAATATCAGACAAACATCACTGTTAAAATTTTACTTAGCCTAACTCTTTATTTCCCAGGGCAAAATATTTTTGAGTTTCTGCAGAATGAACTCATTTTAATACAAATATGTATTAAATATGAGGAGCACTTAGTATTTTCTTTTCTTTTATGATCACTTGATGATTGTAGCTCATTAGATACAGGTCAGAGAATATTAGAGCAGAGCATGATCTTCAAGACCATACTTCTAATACCTTCATATCACAGCTTGGGAAACTGAGGCCCAATGAACTATACCTGTGATCTTATGGCCAGATCATAATAAAATTAAGATGAGAACCATATTTGGAAGATACAGCTTTCTGCAATGTTCTGGTCTGCTTCATTAGTTAAGAAAGTTGTAATAAAAAGACAAAAGCAAGCATCTATTTCCATTTTTCTGTCTCTGTATCAGTCAGTTGGAACTTATCCTTGTGGTTTCAGTTTAAAATCCTATCACTTAGAGCTCATTTGGCTCTGATTTTCTTTAATAATGTTTCTCAGATTCACATACCTGAGGATAAAGCAAGCAATATTTTCAGGATCATCAATGTAGAAGAGGGTAGAGGATACAAATCTCAATGCTAAATGTGATAAATATCATATTTCTACGTTTGATTTAGAAATCATCCAAATTTCCAGAATATTTGTTTGAAAATGCCAGTTTTTTAGATTAAAAAAACAGATGACTATAGGTGATTCCATGTGCTTCAACCTTGGAGGTCATAGAACTGCACATATTTTTTAAAGTTAACACAGTTTTCCTTTTTGAACTTTGCCACTATGTTAGGAAGTTGTCAGAGCAGAGATTCATTAGCTCTGAATTGGTAATGAAGAAATGA